TAAAATCCAGGAAGGACTGAAAACACACACACACACACACACACACACACACACACACACATACAGAAGAGCACTGCCCAATACACTATCCATTGCCATATGCAATTAATTTTAGAAAATTAAAAATTAAACAAAATTAAACTTTAGTTCTCTGTTAGACAGCACAGTGGCAGCTATATTGGATAGCATGCTGGCTGCCATTTTGGGCAGCATGATAGCCACCATGTTGGACAGCAGTGTGACTGCCCTGTTGGACAGCATGCTAACTGCCACGTTGGACAGATGCATAGAACATATCAATCAGCATAGGTGAATTCTGGTGATCAGGGTTGTAAAAGCTACATCATTCTAACATTCCTTAGGGAGAAGACAGTGTTCTGTTTATGAAAACACACTATCAAACCATATCAAAACACATTTTGGCTTATCCATGTAACTCTCCATTTTGTATTTCTGTATTGTATATTCTTATGTTAGATATTTTGCATTATACAATACAAATGTAAAACAATTAGAATTATATTTTAAAATAAATTTAGAAACAGTGCACATTTCATCAAACCATCTTTGTCCACCATGGTTTCTTAGAGACCTCAAATTAACCCATTTAGCCTTTTGAATCACATTCACCCTGGTTGTAGTAGATGTAGCTCCAGTACAGAGCCAGAACTAGCCAAAGTGTAGACTTAGACAGGAGGCCCATTGTGGAGGTAAATTATCCAGCCTTCCTTGCTTTCTGATCAGTTATTTGGGGGTCCACATTATAGCACTGCAGTGGTTCTTTTGTTCCTGTTAAGGACAACATTCAGTGATGTCAAAAAGTCTAGCAGGCAAACTGAGTTGAAGTAAGAGTCACAGGAGTTCTTGGCACAGTCATGGAGTCCCCTGGGCACTGACATTTTAAAATTCATTAATTTAGGTCAGCTCCATATGCCTTTAGCTTTCAAGAGTAGAATTTTTTAAACTTTTTTCGGTAATAATTGTATTGCATGCATTCCCATTATGCAGAAGGCCGACCTTTAATTGGAGTCTTGAACTCAATTGTGTTTCCTGCAGTTGGTAAACCTCACAAATGTGGATATTGTGGCCGAAGCTATAAACAGCGAAGCTCTTTAGAGGAACATAAAGAGCGCTGCCACAACTACTTGGAAAGCATGGGCCTTCCAGGCACACTGTACCCAGGTAAGCACGGGGCTCTGGGCTGGGCCTAGACCGCTCTCCCTCTCAGCGTGTCAGGAACCCAGAGGTGGCCTGCTTCCCCCAGCAGCTGGAAGGGAGGCTCTTCTGTGGCCCACAGCGTGGCAGTTCCGTTAGGGACATTTTCCCTTTCCACTTTCTCAGTTCTCATCTCACCTCACATAGCTTATTTTGTAAAGCTTCCTTCTTTAAATCTGGAGAAACATCCAAGAGGGTAGATAGCCTTAAAAGTTGCTAGTTTGTGTTTTGGGTTTGTTACTTTAAACCTAAAGGAGTGTACTAGGGCTGTAGCTTAGAGGTAGGGCATTTGTAGCATGCACCAGGCCCTGGGTTCAATCACCAACACCACAAAAACAAACAAACAAAATACATTTTTTGTGTATGTGCTAAGTAATCAAAATAAGCTATGAAGTGTTATTGTAAAATTATTTTTTAATAAGCTGAGCATCGGGGGGGGTACGTACCTATAATTCTAGCGTCTGGGAGACTGATGTAGGTTTGAGCCCAGCCTGGACAACTTAGCGACTTAGTAATACCCTGTGTCAAAGCTTACAAAAACAACAGAGGGGCTGACATAGCTCAGTGTGAAGGCCCTGGGTTCAATCCCTAGTACCACCAAAAGAAAAAGAAAAATTTCATAAAGGTGAGCAAATCAGCTTTCAGGTTATGGTTTCAAAGGCAAAATGTTCACATATGACTTGGGTGAGGACAAAGCTTGTCAGTGGACTCAGGCAGGAGTGTTGAGGGCATCAGAAGAGGAAGGAAAAGTAGCATGTGTGTCCCGTCCTGCTCTCTGTTGTGTAATGAGATAGCACACAAGTCCTTAGATAATGAAGCAAAGGTGTGAGGAAAGTACTGAAGAAGGCTGAATTTGCACACAAGACATCAGTGTTATGAAAGCTTCCTTTCTCATTTGCTAAGAGATAATGAGGTTCATAAATAGTTATGGTTTATATCTAGATGTCCTCCCAAAGCCCCATGCATTCATAGATAGGTGATTTTATGATGGAGGTGTGATACTCATTGGTGGACATTCCAATGATGAGTTTATAGCTCAGAATGAGTTGGGAAGCCTGGATGGAGGACATAGGTCACCAGGGGCATGGCCTGGAATAATTTGTTTCCCTCCTCCTCCCTTGATCACTCTCTGCTCCCTGCTGCCATGCTATGGACTGTTTGTCCTCTGCCATCCCCCTCTGCCATGCTGCCCTGCTTTGGAGCCAACTGGCTGTGGACTGAAACCTCTTCAAAATGTGAGCTAAATAAACTTCTCTTCCTTTAAGTCTGGGGTGTCAGATATTGCCTCCCAGGGATTAGAAAGTAACTAAGACATAGATAAAATGAAGCCAGCCTCTTTCTAAACAAAAACATTCTGGAAATAGTCATCAGATGGTGGGGTAGAAATGAAACAAATGACTGATAATTTAGTAAGCCTTTCTCAACATTCTGACTTTAACAAATAGTTCATAAATGAAAATTCACCTGAATACACTCAAGGACGCACAGGGAGACCAAGAAAAAAGAATGGCCAGAAAAAAGTCCTAAAATTTTTTCAGATCAGCCTTGGCATTAACATGTAATGCATCCTACAGCAAGAGCTCCCCTAGTGGTCAACTATGGACCTGGTACAACAGCTTCCTGGACCTTTGTCCTCTTACCTGTGAAATGGGAAGATTCCATGAAATTATCATTGACCTTCCTTCCAAGTTTCAAGTCTAGACTAGAAAGGTATTGAGAATGAATGAAAAAGGAGAACCACATGTTAAAATAATAATAGCAATTTAACAGTTATCAATTTGTGGCCAGTCCCCAAGGCAGGAGATTGAGGGAGAATAGGATGATCTTGTTCCTTTAAAATAAAACATAAACACTCAGATATTGTATTTGTCTAAAAACAAATCCACTAGTGGATCTGAGAAGCAAGTGTGTCTAATGATGGCATTTACATAGTAATGTTTAATGAGCCATCATGTATGCTCAACACATATTTACTAAGAAGTTAACTAAAGTACCAAGCCCCATAGAATAATGTCATCTAATACTCATATGGAATTGAGAAAACAAAACCAGTGAAGAAACAGTCCAGGGATACAGGTTTTTAGTTGCTGTTGCAGTTTGCCCTGGTGGGTCTGGAACCCAGGGCCTCAGGCAGGCCGAGCAAGTTCACCAGAAACTGAGCTCCTCCTGCCTCCTATAGAATCCAGAGGTGCATCAGGCCTGTAAACACCTCAACCTGTGCATCAGCCAGCTTGCTAGCACTGTAACAAATACCAGGGAGAAGCATTATAAAGGAACCATCTTATAAAGGAAGGGGACAGTTTGGTGCATAGCGTGGGGGCTCCAGTCCACAACTGGGTGGCCCTGCTGCTTTGGTCAGTGGTGAGGCAGCATGTCATGGGAAAAAACCATTTCATCACCAGCCAGCAAACAGTGAGAGGAAGGAACGGACCTCACAGTTCCCTCTGAGGACACCCCATGACCCGAGGACACCCCAGACCAGCCCTCTCACTGGTTCTACCACATCCAAGAAGTGTCACCTGGGGATGAGCCTCAAACACAGGTGCTCTTAGAGGACCCTCAAGAGCACAGCAGCCAGTCACTCTACCCTACTGACGCCCACAACTGAGGCATCAGCAGGTGCTGAGTAGAGGAACAAGAGCTTTAAGGGATCCAGGGAAGAACTTTAACAAGTTCCTGCTGAGCTCCGTGTGGGCAGGGAGGGCAGGTGCTGTCCACCGTCCCACTCTGCTGTTCCTCTGCTATCCGTGGGCCTGTCCTTCCACACCCCAGAGACCCATACACATCAGTGCTCCAGGATGGCTGAGAGGTCCTTCACTTCATCCCTCTTAGACTGGTCCATTAAATAAAAAGCAATGCCTAGTTTAGAGGATGTAGGGGAAGACTGCTTTATTGGGACACAGCTTTCTTTAGTAGAAGGCTTTAGTCGCCTGTGGTCATTTCCTACTATATTTATGCAAATAGTTTCCCTTAAGTCACAAAGTGAGGACCTAGCACATCTAAGGGCAGAGTAGCCAGAGACCTGGGAGCTTGGGGCACATTTGTCCCTGACTGTGGCCAGCAGTGAGGGTCGGAACCCTCTGGAGGACCTGTGGTGTGGATGAGGAAACCCCACTTGAGATGTGTGGGTGCCCTGCTCGGCCATTTGCTCCTGCTATGTGCAAGAATGCTATCTCTGCAGATCGAATGCATGGCCAGTAGACACAGATTTATTCTCGTCCTTCCTATTAATCAGGGGGGTGATAGGTGCTCACCTGTTTAATGAGGAACATAGATTTACAATGTGAGATATGCCAGCATTAGCATCCAGTGCAAAATACAGTTTTTATAGTTTTTAGGTTCATAATGGCAGTGAAGTCTAAAATACTGTGGAGTTCTCTTCTTGGGCATTATGGAGGGCATAGTGAAGGAAGGTTCCAAACCACCTAGAGACAAGAAAAGACACACAGAGATGGTTTTGTGACTCTCACTGGAATTCAGTAGCCATTGATCACAAAGTTCATCTGGCAAGATGAATGGGAGGATTAGCAAGTGTTTTTTTAAAAGAGGGGTGAGGCGGAGCGTTACATGAAATGGTAGTAGTTGCAATGTGAGGAGCTCTTTGAAGAAGACAAACAGATAAATAACAGAAATGGATAAGCCTGCTAAATGCTTTGTGATCAATCAGCATGAAATATCTGCGGGCAGAGAGCATGAGACAAGCAGTGTCGGCAGAACTGATTAGATATGCGGAAAATAACATTTACTTCTTCGGCTTCTAAAACAAGAGGCTAAATTTCAGGAGGGTGAGTTACACTTCGAAAGTGCTCATCTGAAAGCTGGAAGTCAGTTTAGATGAGACTTATGAGACACAAAGTTCTATCTTTGAGGATGGAAAGAGGGGATATAGAAATGCAGAGATCAGCTAGCCGTGTATCTGCATTTGCCCCCAGGACATCTGCGTGTTCTGCAGCGTGCAGGTGCTGTGAGGTCATCGGGCTTGCTGTGTGCAGGGATAGGGAGCGCCAGGTTCTGGCTCCACAGGGCCACTTACCCACTGAGGAAATCAGACTCCTAGACCATTTCTTGATGTGACATTTCTCAGAGTGCTGCTGCCAGGATTGACTGAGTTAGTGGGCTTAGAAACATTTGAAAAGTTTAAAAGCCCTGTCAAAGGGACATGGTTACTTCCTTAAGGTCAAGCTTCAGATGACAGGTGACACATGTTTGGGCTTCAGGGGTCATGTACAGTGAGAAGGCGCCCATCTCTGACCATCTTGCTGGGTTGCTGGGAGGATAAGAAACAACCTCAAGGACAGACCCAGCTCTTGTAGGCCTGTAACCAATGTCGCAGCCACACTGGGTAGGCTGGAATCCTTTTAACACCAGCATTTCTAAACTGGCTCTCTGTCTTTGACTTTAGTCATTAAAGAAGAAACTAATCACAGTGAGATGGCAGAAGACCTGTGCAAGATAGGATCAGAGAGATCCCTCGTGCTGGACAGAATAGCAAGTAACGTCGCCAAACGTAAGAGTTCTATGCCTCAGAAATTTCTTGGTAAGAGTCTCTTAAAAAACAACTTCTTCCTGAGTGTTTTAAACTTAGGTGAGGGTTGAGGAGAGGAATCCAATCTGATTTTTTCACAAAGCAAAGAGTGGTAAACTTAACATTTCTTAAATAGCTTAGAATATTTTTCAGTAAGTATCATAACACTGGCAAACTTCCTCTTGCCAGGTTTTGTCGCATGTGGTTTTGCAGCACCTTTGATCTGTGCTTACTGCCCTTTGGGGGTGGCCCGGTCACTACGACCAGGACTGAGCATTGGGGCCCTGTCACACACCAAAAGACACCCCAGCCCACGCACCTCTCTGAGCGTCACATTCCCTGGTGGAGGACTGTGGGATCAATGGGAGTCACATAGCGACTGGCCCCCCAAGTGCCGAGTCGGGGTGACCTGGTAGGTTGGTATTTTGACCACTGAATCCTCATTTAAACCAGGTGCTGTGCAGAATACACTCCAGGGTGAGCCCCTCCTCAAAGAGCTGTTGAGCAGCACAGATGGCAGACAACGTGTCCATAATCATCGTCCAGGACAAACGCTGGACAACAAGGGGGACAGGGGGCCCGTGTCCAGCCTGTGCACAGTTCAGGGCCACCCAGCAAGCTGTGACCTTGGGAGAAGGACTCTGTCTCTCTGACCTCCGCATGGGCTCCAGACTTTGTTAATCACATGGGGTAACATGAAGCTAACATGACCCCAGAGCGTGAGAACATAGACGCCCTGTTATCATGAGGGAGCAGGAAGGGTCATGTCTAGGAAAGGGGAACAAAACTTCATATAGCTGAGAGATGGAGTGAGGAGCAAGATTTCAGCACAGCCTCAGTGGTGCAGGAGGAGAGGATTCTAGACAAAAGTAGAAATAAAGAGATGGCGATGCTGGAGGTGGGACAGAAATGGGGGTGCGAACAAAGTGCGGTTGTCCTGGAAGCTCAGGCCCTGGGAGGAACCGTCCCCCAGTGCCACAGGGAGAGGTGCCCGCTCAGAGAGGGCCGGAAAAGCACGGGCTCTTTTGTGATGGGAGAACAGCTCGGGAAGAAGAAATAGCAAGGGCTGCACCCTTGATGGGAAGAGGAGGAGGCCAGTGCAGTGCAGAGAGAGAATGGAGGATGGGTAAGAGCATGGAGGGCAGAGCCAGGGAAAGGAAACCAACACTGCAGTCCTGGAACTGGTTCCCCTGTTTGAGAAGGGCTAAGGCGAGTGCTGGAAGGAGTGGCACCCTGGCTTTGGGTGCTAATGTCCAAGGAGCACAGGGGAGAGCAGCCCTTGGGAAACTGAGAGACCTGAGCTAGAAGAGAGCTTCAGAAGCCTGGGACCCCAGGGGCACTGGCCTTCCCCTGGCAATGTCAAGTTGGATTTCATCTTGATCTGTTGACTGAATGGAGATTTGTCATGGGTCAGGCTTGGGAGGAGCAGGCTTGGAAGGAAGGAAACACAATAGGGACTCACTGTGCAGGGAGCTGTGGAAGCTGGAGAGCAGGGCCCTACCATTGTGAGCAGAGCAGGGAGGAGGCTGTGGGTTGGGTGATGTTTGGCCGCATTAGGTGAGGACCAGTGCTCCCTCACAGGACAGCAGTGTCCGGTAGACATCCCTGGGCATGGGCATCGTGGAGAGGGTTTGATAGGGTGAGCAGGAGATCGGTAAGCAAAGAGCCACCAGATTACCCGGGGCTGAGAGTCAGTGCTACCTCAGAAAGCAGGGCCTGGCTTCCCCTGAGGCCCAGGCACACACCCAGACCCCTGCCGCTCTGCAGGATGAAGCTGAGCAGAAGTCCGTGACACTTTTCTGCAGTCCCAGGATGATTCTGTCTTCACTCACCTTGAGTTAAAAGGGGAGGACAGAGCACTTGCAGGGTGGACCAGGCAGCAGAGGCCTGCGGGAAGAAGGACCCCCGCGGTCTGCCAGTGCTGGCGCTGTACTGTGCCTGCCCTGGACGCACTTCTGGCAGCCTACCTCAGAGGGAGTGGGTTCTCAGGTCACATCACCCCCAGGAGGCCAAGCGACTCAAAGGGGGCGGGGCCCAGCTGCTTTTTTATTTTATTTTACAAGTGCCTATTTGCAGTGCGTAATGACATTCACTGTGGGAGTGGATGCACGTGTGCAACACATCTTCATTTTTCCTTCCCCTTCTCATATGCAAAAGACTCATCTCCCGTTTCCTGTAATCTGTCATTTAGTTTTCTCTTCAGTTTCTTTATACTTATGATTTCCAATATAAGGAAATCGTCTGATATATAAGCTTGTGTGTCTGATTTACTTCACTAAGCATTATGGTCTCAAACTCCATCCATTTTCCTACAGATGATTCAAGTTTATTCTTCTATGTGGCAGAGTAGTGCTCCACCGTTAAACATTCCACATTTTCTTTATCCAGTCATCTGCTGATGGGTGTATGGGCCCCTTCCAAGATTTAGCTGTTAAGAATCATGCTGCTATAAACACGGATAGGCAGGGACCACTGTTATTTTACACCTAGGAGGGGAATAACTAGGTCGAATGCAAGTTCTAGTTTTAGTTTTTTAAGGTGATCAAAGAAAGATAGTGTCTGTGACAGCGCTTCCACCACTAAAAGCACCTTAAAAATGCAGGGCCGTGTTAGTTTCATGATGCGTACGGCTCTGAGAGGCGTATACTTTTGCTTTATTGATATATGAGCTCTGAACAAAACATTTACACTTTAGTGGGAGTAGGAGGAAGATTGTTCTGCCCTCACCACCACACCCTTCAAAGCTCCCAAACTCTGAGGTAGTCAGAGATGAGGCCACAGGGTGCAGGATTCCAGGGTGAAAGGGCTCATGTGAAACACCAGTGCGCATTGCTGTTTCCACTCTAGCTGCTGACTGGGGCGAGGACTTTTTTTAAAATACAAAAAAGAAAAAAGAAAAACAACACCAAAACAGAAGTGATTATCAGTATTCCTGCTGCCCATCATGAGTATATTGGTGGATTTCCTCCTTTCAAAAGAAAAAAAAAATCCTGTTGTATTATTTAAATTCTACATAAATTAATATGTTAATTTATATAATTATATGATTTATATTAATATAAAGACTTTAGTGATACTGTGGTTGAGACACTGGGCCTTCACATTGAGCTGCATCCCCAACTCTTATTTTTCTTTTTTGAGACAGGGTCTTGCTGAGACCCTGAGCCAAAACTTTTGCTCCTCCTGCCTCAGCCTCCCAGAGTGCTGGGGTTACAAGTGTGCATCAGTGAAGACTTCTTTCTTGCAAGTTAAAATCACACACTGACTAGGAGGTGTCTTTAGCGTTTTCTATTTGGGATAAAATTTCCCTGCCATTTTCCTCTGACAATTCCCCTCCTGTTTCTTCTTTATTTCTGGAAAACACTCTCTCCTGTGTCTTTTGCTCTATCTGTTGAAATGTTGGTCTGGGGATGCCAGTTGTTCATGCACTGGATAATTTGTCTTCCACATTGGTTAGCATTTCTTTATGCTTCTTTTTATTTCTTTGCATTTTTAAATTTATTCACTATTATTATCTTTTTTCCCCTCTGTGCCCATAATTCCCTTTTTGGTAGGTTTTGCTCTATTTTGTGCTGTTTCTCACTCGCGTATTCCATAATAATGTTGTTTGGGGCTTCATTTTGTCTTCTGAGAGCCAAAATCTCTTCTCCTTTCATTTTATTGCTTTGATTACTATCCTTGAGTTTTTTTAAAAAACTGACTTCATATCATGAAATCACTGTGAGGCATTTCCTGGCTTCCCTGAATTAGGCCCATCTTTCCCTAGGATGCATTCACTGGCTTATTTTACTTCCCTACCTCCCTCGAGTCACTAGAAAATATTTGCCTGGTAACCATGACATTTCTTTCCCTCCTGCCTCTGCTGCTTGCTCTGACAGAGCTGGACCGGCCTCTCAGCTTCTTCCCACCACATCTGAGGCTTTGCTCTCGTGAGGCAAGTGGCCAGCCGTTCTAAATCCTGAGAGGATGCAAGGAGGGCTGGGCTTGGGTGAGGCTGAGCGGCCTTTGGTGGAAACTCCCCTAGCTCGCTGTCCCTCGGCATGAGATTTTGGTTAAAGCCCATAAACCAGCAGCACTGTGGCACTTCCTGTTCCCACAGGGGAGCTCTGGGATCTGTACCTTCAGCCCCTTCAACCCAGACCGTCAAGTTTCTGCAAACACAGCAGTTGCTGTGGAGCCATACCTGAGGGCTTGGGAAGTGAGATTAGCACCCGGAATTTGGGAAGCTGAGACAGGAGGATCTAAAGTTCTGGGCCAGCCTGAGTTAATATGAGACTTTGTCTCAGAGAGAGGGAGTGAGAGAAAGGAAGAGGGAGAGAGACAGACAGAGATAGAAATTAGTAGCCCGATTGTGTCTTGTGTCTCACATATGTAATTTTGGTTCTTTCCTTGGTTGTAGATGGCAGGTTTCACTAGGATTTGTTCATGTCTTCAGCTAATTGCTGTTGTAGGTTTCTGATTTTTTTTCTTGCTGTTGGGAAGCAAGGAAGAGGAATTCCATGGGTAAATTTAATAAAATCTGATAATCTGGAATACACACTTGCTTTTTCCTGTACCCATTTGTTGCTGATACCAAATATTAAAAGAACAGACTTTGGTGGTGGCTCAGAAATCACAGAAATGTGTCTGGGGAAAACAGGATGTCTGGATGGGAAAGTACTGCTTGGTGTGGTCAGCACACAAGCTGTTTACAGAAGTGGCTGCCCAGCCCCCGCCCGCCTTGTTCCTGGGCCTTGGTAGAGAGACAAACTGGGGACAAAGCAGAATAGCTCCATTCAGTTACTGTACATTGTTTAGAACACTGTACTGAAGATACCTCATTTAAAAGGTTAATTTTTAAATTAAGTATGATAATGCAGGGTAGTTTGGTTGGATTTTGTGTGTTTATGCACTGAGGATTTAACCCACACTGAGCTCTATCTCCAGCCCTATTTTTTTATTTAGAGACAGGGTCTTACTGAGTTGCTGAGTTGCCTGGGCTGGGTTCAAACTTGCCATTGTCCTGCTTCAGCCTCCCAGAGTGCTGGAATCACAGGTGTGTACCACCAGGCCTGGGTCACCACGTCTCATTTGGCATGGGTATTGTTTGGCCTGGTAAAAGGTGCACTGTCTGCTGTGCTGGCATGGATAATCTGGGGTCCCCCTTTCCATTTTCCTGCCAGCTGTCTTGCCCTCTGCCCGCTGACACAGCTGTCCCTGCCTCTCCTGGCCGCAGCCCCCCCCCATAGACCCTTCTAACAGCCCCTTGCTTCCCGCAGGGGACAAGTGCCTGTCCGACCTGCCCTACGACAGCAGTGGCAGCTACGAGAAGGAGAATGACATGATGACTTCGCATGTGATGGACCAGGCCATCAACAACGCCATCAGCTACCTGGGCGCCGAGTCCCTGCGGCCCTTGGTGCAGACACCGCCCGGGGGCTCCGAGGTGGTGCCGGTCATCAGCCCGCTGTACCCGCTGCACAAGCCCGGGCCCGAGGGGCCCCCGCGGCCACCACCCTCGGCGCAGGACAGCGCAGTGGAGAACTTGCTGCTGCTGTCCAAGGCCAAGTGCGCAGCATCGGAGCGCGAGGCATCACCAAGCAACAGCTGCCAAGACTCCACGGACACGGAGAGCAACGCCGAGGAGCAGCGAGGTGGTCTCATCTACCTGAGCAGCCACCTGGGCCCCCATGCGCGCAACGGGCTGGCACTCAAGGAGGAGCAGCGGGCCTTCGAGGGCGCGCATGACGCCTTCCGCGTGCTCAGCACAAGCGGCGAGCAGGTCAAGGCCTACAGGTGTGAACACTGCCGCGTGCTCTTCCTCGACCACGTCATGTACACCATCCACATGGGCTGCCACGGCTTCCGCGACCCCTTCGAGTGCAACATGTGTGGCTACCACAGCCAGGACAGGTACGAGTTCTCCTCACACATCACGCGTGGCGAACACCGCTTCCCCATGAGCTAAGCACCCGCCAGCTGCCCAGCGCGCTGCCCGCCTACCTTGCCTCCTGCCCACCGGACTGCTGGGCGTGCGTTTGTACACGGCTTCCATCTTCCTGTGAACTTGGTTGGCTGGGGTCAGTTGATTTGCTTGGAAGCGCAAGCATTCCCTTGTCAGTAGACGCAGAGTTGCATTGGACGCACCCAGAACTTCCCTCTTGCTGGAAGTTTCTGTAGACCCCCAGCTGAAGCCCCCTCACCCGTGACTCCCTAGCTTCCCCTTCTCCACAAGTGAGTCCGAATTTTCCGAGAGAATTAAATAAAATACGGCAGAGCCTGGGAAGGAGCGAGGTTGTCCCCTGCTCTGGTGTCCTCCGTGGCCCCAAAGCAGTGAGCAGAGTCCCTGGGTGTGGCATCCCCCAGCTTGGCAGAAGAGCCAAGACCACCAGGTCTGCAGCTGCCTGGGGGACAGAGCCAGCTGCTCGTGCCGCCAAGACCTCAGCCACCTGCGTCTAGGGTGGAAAGCTGCCATGTGGAAGAGATGATGCGAGGCCATCACTGCGTGGGAAATAAACTGGGTCACATGCTGGGTAACTTGGGCATGGGTGGGGCAGGACTGAGAGCCTCACAGACCGTCTTCTGGTTTCCAGGCCTCCCAAGCTTCCCTGTGTGAGGTGAACGAGCCCAGTGGCCCTGAGGACAAATACAGGGAGCCCTGTTCTTTCTCATTTTTTATCCCGTTAACACCCCAAACTCTATGACTACACTTTAACCACCAGCCATGGGATTTGAACCTTTGTTCTCTTTGAACCTCTCCAATAGTCAGCTTCCTCTGAAATCAGAGCTTCCCTCCAGCCCCATACTCCCTTTTTGGTGTCTCTGTTCCTTCCTGGCTGGTTCTACCAGAGCCCAGAGCCCATCACCCTGCCCACGTCATCCTTGCCCCATGACGGGCTCTCTGAGCACTGTCCCCCACCCAGCTCTCCCCTGCACCACTGTGGTGTGAGAATATGGAGAGAAGACTTCGTTTGACCACTCATTCTTAGATCAAGGGAAGATGGGGAGCCCAGCACTGCAGTTGCCAGCACATACAACTGCCCTGTCTGAAGCTCAGTGCTGAAGTTCAGAAACTGTGCCATGGATGAGGTAGTGTAGATGCTCACAGAATTGGAAGCATGGACCTTGCAGCCTTTGTTCTTGTAGGGCAGTCATGTGACTTGCCCAGACTGTGAAGCCCACCTGGTCTCACAGGAAGGGCACTGGGGCTGGAGAGGAGGACCCAGTACAGCAAGGTGCCCCCCTCCCTCCGGGCAGCTTGGGAGAGGTGCTCGTGTCTCCTTGCTCAAGATGAACCCTGTCGTTGAGGTCATTACTGTCCACCACCTTTGCAGAAAAAGCGCCCGTGGTTATGGACATGCATAGTATTTGTCTTCACCCGACTGTCCAAAGTGAGCACGAGGAAGTAGAGGGGGACTGTGGGCAAGCACCTCCACATTCAGTCTCAACCAGGGTTCTTCATGTCAGACATGGTAGTCTTCTGGCTCCCTCCTGAGGGGTTTCTCCTGTGCACTGGGGTACACAGGAACAGCCCAGTCAGTGCCAAGGGAACCCCCTAGTTGGCATCTGGAAATGTCTCCCCAGGGGGCAAACTCTTCAGTGATCTCAGTGAATCCTAGTCCAGTGGGGGTGTGGGAAGCTTCCCAAAGACAGAAAGTTTCCCCGTCAGCAAGCTGCAGCCAGACCCGTGCTCTTTTGTTCAGATCATAAATCCAGCAAATGAATTATTCACTTTCAGTGTTCACAAATACACTTCCTCACAGCACTTGAGTTGTGTTAAAGGGGCTCCTGTTCTTGAGTCAGCTTTCTTTGCTTCCAGAATGGTGTGTAGCTGGAAATAAAATTGCAATGGTAACAATGTAGCCTCTGCCACAAGGATACTGGAGTGAAGGAAGAGATAGAGGAACCAAGGCTGGGGAGAGCTTTGGTTTAACATTCAGTTACAGGGACAGACACCTCACCTTGTCCAAATCCATACATTCAAGGTGAGGCCTCCTGGGACTGACTTGTGGTGGCTGGCAGACTTCACCTTTCCTATTCTCTGTCATGTGTCCCAGTCACTTGGCTAAGGGAATTCTTTTTCTAGTGATGTTCAACAAAGCTTAAATAGTCTGTAAATAGTCTCAGCAGGACCTCTCTAATTGTCTTTCTTTCTCTCTCTCTCTCTCTCTCTCTCTCTCTCTCTCTCTTTCTTTCTTTTTTTTTTATTCTGAGACATTCTCTCTCTTTCTTTCTTTCTTTCTTTCTTTCTTTCTTTCTTTTTTAATTTCTGAGACAGGGTCCAATGAGTTGCCTAGACTGGGCTCCAACTCACCTCAGCCTCCCAGACTGCTGGGATTATAAGCGTGCACCACCACGCCGAGCTCACTGCCTTTTATAGCCAATATAAATGTCTATTTGCACACCTTTTGTTGTGGTTTTATATTGAAACAGCATTTTGGAGGGGGGGAACTACTGTATTTAAAGTAAGGTTTCATATTATGTCAACAGTAATTAAATTATGTTTGAAAAGTGCCCACATTCTGTACCAAAAGTCACCGGTTTTTCTTCTAGCTGGTAAACGTAGGATTTTGCATGATCTCTCATTTTTTGTTCTGCGGTTTCTTTTGTTGTATGATGGCATGAGTGTGTCTTGGGTGCCACTGACTGCCGAAGTGTGCCTCAAATTCATATCCCCATTTGTGATTTAAGGAAACAGCAGAGGCAGGAGGGTTGCCAGGAGCAAGTTGGCTTTCCTATCTCCTTCCTGTCACCCTGCTTCTCAGAGAGGACCTGGACCTGTGTGCTCCCTGCCCCCGGCCCCTTCTGTGATTTGTACTTGGGGCAGTCCCTGTGATCTGTGCAAGCATGTGCTTGTCCTAATGAAAGAATCACAAAACATCATCAGGTACTCACTGCATTGTCACCAGAAAGCATGTCCAAGCCCAACTGCTTCAGATACAGTGGCACCTCAGTTCATGTACTTAATTTGTTCCATGATTTTGGAGAAGATGGCCATGTTTGTTTGTGTGGGAAAGATGACCATCGTGTTTGTCACTCAATGTAGAATTTGCAAACAAATATGAAAATCTGCCAAAAGCTTTTGTTTACAAACCGAATTGTTGCGAACAAAAGCATTTGTGAACCAAGGCATTAGTGTACCAGCATGGTCCACCTCCAGTTAGAATCAGCCACATAATAAAATCTTAGCCTCTTCTTGAAGAAAGGGCACTACCAGGCATGGAGATGTGAGTGCATTTAATGGAGGTGTGTGTGTGTGTGTGTGTGTGTGTGTGTGTGTGTGTGTGTGTTCTTTGGTTTTGTTTTAGGGACTGTACTATGATACTCGTACAGTCCTCCCCTTGCCAAGACAAAAATGACAGGAAACAGACTTGGGTAGCTGCATCGTGGTGAAATTGTATTTCTCCATTCTTCACTTCTGTTCCAGCAATGACAAAGGGGCACGTCTGTGTCAGTCCAGATGCCCCTCATGCCACACCCACTTCAATGTTTTCACAAAATGAACCAAAATGGAGACTTCTTTAAAACCACAGGCATTAGAAAAGAAGCACATTCACTTTCTATGCACTGGCACTCAGTGTGAGCAGGTATAACCCAGAGTTAACACACAATTGTGTTTCCAGGACTTCCTGGTGCACTCTTTCATGACATCATGCAAGGTGACTGGAGGTCCAATCTGTTTGTATGCAGGGCCACTCTGGGTCCTCCTCTCCCACCCGGCCCAGGGCTGTAATGAGAAGATGCAGCCCTCTCTCAGCCAACCTCTATGCTGTTTCTCTGTCCAGCTGTGAACAGGGAGCTACCACTGGGGGACAGAAGATCCTTTTGTACACATTTTGCAATGAGACTTCAGTAGTGATAGAAATAAATGCAATGAACTCTGTCTGCCCTGTCCCATGAGTACACGAGTGTCCACACCAGTGTATGAGAAGACTGGACAGTGCAGGAAGCTGTGGAGGTGCCCAAACAGTTATTCCAGGGTGCAAGGCAGAAGAGACAGGACGGAGGCAGCTCTAGTATGAGTTGGGAATACATACAACAGGCAGTCGAAATGCATGGTGATGGTTAAATTTTTAAAAATAATTACAGTAAAGAGATTGCCATGGATGCCCCTCAGAATCCTCCCCCTCACTTTGAACACACTTATCCCATCATTCTTGCCCCTTTCCTCAGAGTCTTTATGAAGTGTGGTCAAAAATATGGTGAATGAAGCTGCGAAGTGCCATCCAACAGAAAGGCAGCTCCTAAAAACATTCACCAGGTCTGGCACCACGTAACCTCCACCTCCTCCCTAAAATGACCATGAAAGATCAGCATTTTTAATCAATTTGGGACATTGAGGCAGTCATGACAGGACAACTAAGGATGCTTTGGAAAGAGGGCTTCAGAGCTGCAGCGGTGAGAAATAAGAATGATCAGTTCTGGCAGCGAGGGAGGGCGCTGAGGGGCCTCCTGGCCGTGTGTCTCTTGCCTAGCAGATTTCTTCACTCTACACATTTTGGTGCAGCTCCATCACAGCTCTTGTGTACTCAGTTGCTTCTGCAGGGCGGTCTCCAGCACAGACCCCGTTCCCCTCAGCACCTCAGCCACCACCCATCTGTCACCTCAGGGGGCTGGGGACATCGAGGCATTGCTGAGGGTGGGGAACCAGATGGCGGTGGGTGGTGTGTGTCAGTTTCCACAGCACACCCAGGACAGCATGAGTGACCCAGCCCGCTGCAGAGGGGCTCAGACAGGGTGCCTGAGGGAGCTGCACCTTCCCGTGTCACCTGTGAAACCGCTGCCTGTGCCAGGGCTGGGGTGCTGTCATGACACCTGTCCTCCCTCTGCTTCAGACCTGCATTCCTGACTGCTCTGGGGTGAAAATCCTTTGTCCCTTTCAGGCAAACAGCCACACCTCACCTGAGTCCAGATCTCGAAAGAAGAGTGGGGTGACTCAGTTTATATGGCACAACTATGGGTCCAAAGGAGCTGTGGTGCATAGAGGGTACTGAATTTCACATTGGGTCCAGGCAGTGTACCCCAGGGCAACCTGCAAACATAGGCACACGCCTGTCATCCGAGCACTCTCGGAGGCTGAGGTAGTGGGATTGTAAGTTCAGGCCCAGCCTGGGCAGCTCAGCAAGACCCTGACTCAAAAAAGGGGTGGGAGGTGTAGTTCAGTTCAAAGGCCCTGGGTTCAGTCCCCAGTACTGAAATACTGTATATTCTGCAGCCTTGTGGCTCGGTTGTCCTAGCAGCCTGAGAAACGTGCCCAGGCAGCATCCTGAGAGAGGACATACCGCAGGCCCATGGTAGAGACCAGCGTCACGGGGCTCACAGGGTGAGGTCCTGAGCTCCTGCTAAGCTGGCAGACCTCCCTTCTCCATTTCGCTGCCATTAAGCCACGGGCCCTCAGGATCATCTGAGTGGGAGCCCGAGGTCCCTGACCCCATTTCCAGCGAGTTTGTCATGCTTTCTGCCAGGTGTCTGGTGGATCTGAGTCCTGTTACACCTTGAGTTCTCACTGACAGCAGCATCAAGTTCTCACAAACCCAAACCCAGGCCCTCCCACCAGCCATGCCCTGGGTCATGGCCTCTCCTTTCCTCCCACCAAGCCGTGAGCAATGGCACCACACTCAGAGGAAGCTCTGGTTAGGAAAATCAGGGCTTCCACCTCCCTGCAGTTCTGGAAACTTCTGGCTCCTTCTCACATTAGGCGGCACCTTCTCTCTGCTTCCCGGGCTGCCCTGTCCCCACCTCTGATGGGTAAGAAAGGGGGTTCCCTTCATCCCCCAAACAGCCGCACTGGCTTCTCCCACAGGTTCTGGCCCTTAGCTGCCCATGCAGCCACGAAACGCCCCACAGCCACAGCCTCGTCCATGTGCACTGACAGTGGACATGTGGCCTGGGGCCTGAGGACCAGCTTCCTTGTCCCTGCAATGGGAGGTAGGATGTGGTCAATCCTCAGCTGCGAAGGGCACTGAGAATAGGGCTGGGCTGTCCCCACTTTCCTGCTGGCCACGGTGGTCCAGCTTGTCCCATCTCCATGACAACCAGGGGAGCCGGCCATCCGAGACCAGGTGGTACTGACGTGTTCTGCACTCTGTTGCCTGGGCAGCCAAGGCCGGTCCCATGGCACAGAGACAACCACGGCGGGCCCAGCTGGAGCCCAGAGCCCCATGGCAAGGAGTCCCAGAAGGCAGGGGCAGAAGTGGCCCCAGGTCCTGCTCTCTGCCAGCTGCCTCATCTTTCTGTCCAGGGTATGGGGATTTGATCCAAGAGCCACACAGGGTCACAGCCCACGCATGCCTGTCCAACCTTCACCACAGTCAGAACAGGCCAGGCCCTCACCACCCCCACCCCACGCCCAAGTCACATGTCAGCCTCCCTCCCTGGGACTCACCCAGGATGCACCTTCCTAGAGAAGACCTAGAGGTGTCCCGGGGACGCAGATCCCGGGTCTGGGGCTCATAGATCCTTCCAGCCCCACAGGGAAGAGAAGGAAGAAGAGCCGGTCTCCAGGAGGAAGCAGGGATGGGGATTCCACCTGGAAGGAGGGGGGAAATAGAACGAGGGGTGAGACTGGGTGACAGGAGGCATTGCAGGGCACTGGGGACTCAGGCCCCTGAACCCTAACTCTAACCTCACAGTGAGGGGCCTGAAGATGCAGTCAGAGCCGTGATGCCCCGTGTCTCCCTGTGTCCCCAGCCCCATGCGCAGGGTGCCTCTGTCACCCGAGGGCCTCCTCCCTGGCTCCTGTTGGTCACTGCACAAAATAAGATCGTTTATGGGTTTGCAGAGAACTCGAGCTGGGAATGGACAGCCTGGGAAGTTGACAATGAATAAAGTTCTCCAAGAAAGGGACACCCTGACATCAGGTAGTATGCAGGCATCCTCGGTGTTGGGGTGCACCGGAGCTCTGGGGGCTGGGGATCTGCAGAGCACCTGGGATCTGAGGGCACGCTGGGATGAGGCCTCTGAGAAGGACCCTGACAACCGCAGTCCAGTCTGTGGGGAGGGTCCTCGAGGAGGGGACACGGGAGCCCATGGGGACACACAGACCGAAAGGAGCAAGGACTCTGCGCAGTAGCCCCTGGAGATGAAGAGAAGTGAGTGGCCCCGGCGGGAAGGAAGGACCCCGGTCTGAAGCCCACACAGGGCAGAGGAGGCTGAACCAGAGCCACAGTACTGCCTGCCAGGGAGAGGAACAGAGGAGAGCACGGCAGCTAAGGGGACAGCTTGACTTTCTGACTCTGGGTGTAACCTTCAAGGGCAGGGATTTTTAAAAAGTGTACAGCTATACTCTGTGTCAGGAACAGTAGCTAGGTGCTCACTAAACACCAGAGGTCCAATAATCTAGGGTAACTAAGCTCAAAGGAGCATCTCAAGTTCGACCCCAACTCGGGCCACTAAATGTCTCAGCAAGACCCTGTCTCAAAATTAAAAATAAACAAAAGGGAGGGGGCTGGGAATGTAACTCAGCACAAAGGTCCTGGGTTCAATCCCCAGTACTACCAAAAAAAAAAAA